AACCGGAAACTACATGTGACATATACTATTGGTATCGGTATCGGATTCGACCCGGAACTTGTTAATTATTAGTATTATTAATTATGTGGAAAACAAAAGGGCCTGGAATGGTGTATTTTTTAAACAACATCATTGACATATACTAGTTACATATAAAGTTGAATTCTTTGATTCATCGTTTTTACGTCATGCCGGCTAACACATTGGACCTTGTTATTTTAGTAATATACTAGAACACACCCATGACATCGCGGTTCCATGAATGAATTAAAGTATCTATGCCTTGTTTTCAGCCTGGATTTTTAATATTCGTATTGTCATCAGAAAAAGTCATGCTATTGTAAGGTGTACAGTTTTCTCTACTTTCAAAATCTTTCTGCTTGAACCCGTCCTGGTTTTCTTACTACAATAAACTTACTACTATCAACTAAATTTTATTTTTTAACTTATTAACCAAAATTTAGTAGCGGTATTGAGGTGGTAGAATACAGACTTGTTAAATAGTGTACGATAGTGTAATATAGATATAAAACTACTACTGGAAGAATTCCAGGTTCTCCTGATAAAGAGGGATTTTCAGAAGGAAACTACATGTGACATATACTATTGGTATCGGTATCGGACTCGAACTGGAACTTGGTAATTATTGTGAGTAAATTTACAAAACATAAAACTTAGTTAATGAATTCCGTTTTACAAACACCTGTGGAACAAGTACTCAGTCAAAAAAATACCAATAGACCAATTAAAAGATCACTCGAGTTGTAAATATGTGCTAAATTGGAAACTCAATGGAAAGGTTTTGGTACAAGCCCCTCGCTCTTAATTTCATAGTATTTACCATCGATACATATAATCATTTCACGGTCATATGTCTATATGTCCGTTAACATTGTTCACTTGGTCTTTACCTTATCAAGTTCATTGATTAGTGAACAAGGTTTAACTTTTGTGCTCTCATCGCGGGGATATGATAGTCTGTCCATTCGTGCGTCCGAAATACATCAATACTCCGATACCGATTGACAGAAAGCTTGCATACTCAGTAGGATTAGTTTTCATCATATTCTCTTGACCATATTATTTCGTCAATATGCTATGACAACTTTTACGGAAAGGTTGGTGATTTTTTTACCACGTTTTGGTATTTTTACAATGACTCCATGTGAACGCAACTCCTCTGAGTCCATTTTACAGAAAGATTTCATACTTGCTAGGATTGTTTGCGATCATGTATAGCTGACCCTATTGTACCGCTATTTGTCCGGACCATTTACAGGGGAGTTATAGGACTTTGAAGTTTTTACTAGTTAACACTATTGTAACACAATTGCACGCTGTGAACGCTACTCTTCAGTGACTATGATAGAAAGCTCTCATACTTGGTAGGATTGTTTACCATCATATGTAGATGATCATATTATACATAACTTCATTCTGATTCGACCATTTTGAAGAAGAGTCAGGGGACTGACCTTTATAAGAATATCTTACCACAATGACACCTTCAGACGCATGAAATTAATAAAGTGTTTTAATTTCATTTAATAGCACTGAGGCGATATCACTGTTGTTTGGACTGTTAGTCCCCGAGGGTATCATCAGCTCAGTAGTCAGTGCCTCGCTACTGACTTAATTTATAAAAAAATGTTTTGAAAATTCTCCGTTGATAAATTTTTATAAATTAAGAAATTAATAAGGAACTAAGATTCCAACTCCCACATGCAAAGTTGAAATGAGATGAATTTGTCTTTTTTAGTGTTCCGTTTGGCCATCATACATGTATCTCTTTATGTGTTTTGGTTTTATACTTTCTAGGCTTTCATGTGTTTTGATTAGAGCGTTCCTGATGCAGGTAAATCCAGAAACACGCTTTGGGCGCTCGACATTAATAAAGTGTGTTTATTTTCATTTTCTAGCAATGGGTCGATACCCCGAGTGTATCATTATCTTAGTAGTCGTAGCCTTAGTTGACATTGGATTGATTTGGCCATTTTATTTTTTTTGTCCCTTTTGGTTATATAGCTCTTCATGTGTTTTGGTCTTGTACATCATATACGAAATTAATAAAGTGTTGTTTTTGTTCATTGTTAACGCAACTCCTCTGTGATCGTTTGACATTCTTGGTAGGATTCCTTGCCATCTTGTGTAGTTGACCATTAATTAACCTCATTTGGATTCGATTATTTTAACACTTTCTACTATTATACCACAATGACATCATCTTTGGCCTATCGAATAACTGCAACACATTCAACAGCTAGAAATACACTTTATCTTGATCTATGGTCCTGCTGTTCAACTCTATATTGTACACACAATTGTATCCCTCATTTACACAATGGTGGGAGACTTTTCGTTACGGCGTTAATCAAATTGGTTTTATTATTACAAATGGTAGTATTAAATGAAAACTGCTCTATTTTATTTCAAATTTTCTTCTTCTTTATACTCTCTACTAAATACACCATCCATGCTTCTCTTGTGTTATTTTCATTATTTTTTCACATTTTATTGTCTTCAAATTTTTTCTTCAATTACAAATGCTATGCTTTTCATTTCTGCATCTTTAATTTCTATGTATAGTAACAACTTCCCTGGTTTCTTTTACCTTACATTGTTTTACCTGACTCTGCAATTTAAACATATAATCTAATTTGGTCTGTAAATATTCTTCAAAAGTCGCGCTTTATCTGTAATCTACTGGGTGAGATGTTTATGTCGTATGTTTTTTTCCTCTCACTCTGTGCCCGATAGTTTTCGGTGTACTATGAAGGGAGTACAAAAATGCTCGTATTCCATTGTTGTAATTAACATTTCCCATAGAATTGCAAGCGATATTCGAGATCTCGCTAGTTATCGCTAGCTTCTAAACTAAGGCAAACTATTTCCCGTTATTATCTCAACCGTTGTATCTTGGAGTTACTGCTCTTAGTTCAGAACTATAGCAACTCATTAACTGAAGTTAGTTGGACTAGCAGAATTGTTGAAATTAAAATAGAAATTTCAAAATAAGGAGATGTGGTATGATTGCCAATGAGACAACTATCCAACACACTATCGAAAACGTCATAGAACTGTACTTTTGATCCAATAGGTTTTTGCTAACATTGTTAGATATCCCATATTATTATCTTACCTCCTATACATTTCTAGGAATATCATTGGTTAAAAAGCGAACACATGAAGACCCTGTTATATTTAATATTGGTTGAGTGGGCGTGTTTTATTTCAATACACGGTTAGTAGCAGTGTTACGTCCCTTTGTAAAATTAACATGACGTCGAAGGGGAAGAAATTGTTCATAAACGATTGAATATAAATGCAGAAAAATAACAAATTGTAATTGTTGGTGTTTTTGTATACACCAATGAAGTACGTTCCTAATATTGAAAACGTTATCACTTTAAGAGGCAACTAGTCTGAATTCCTCATGTTAAGATAGCCGGTAAGATAAATTCGTTACATATTGGGTGAGAGCGAAGACCCAGTATATATCGTATTAGGTCACTAGCACACTTTGTAACTAATATAGACATTTGCAATCACTAAACTGAAGAAAGCAACGAAAATGTGATGTCAATGACCCTCTTGGCTTATACTTTCCTCATTCAATGTTGTATTGTGTACATTTATCCCTTTATATCCGTACTTATTTTCAAATATAAACGTTTTATGTGCATTTAGAGAAGAATTCAAATTTGCAAAATTAAACATCGATATCGATAAATTTTATCAAAATACTATGCTCTCCTGTATTGACTAAAGTTTAGAAGTCTAGAACAAATGATGAAATTTTACAGAAAATGTATGATCTACAGTATGAAATATTTTAGTCAGTAACATTACCGGTATATACAATTAGGCAAACTTGGTTGAAGAGGAAGAAGATACCAAAAGGGCAATAAAAAACCGTTAGTCGAATATATAAACACAATCACAAAAAAGAACAACATGGAATTGAGAATGGAAACTGGGAATGTGTCATAGAGACAACAACCCGACCAAAGAACAGAAAACAACCCAATGGGTCTTCAACGCAGCAAAAAATCCTGCACCCGGAGGCTGGCTTCAGCTGGCCCCTTAACAATAATGTATATTAGTTCAGCGAAATGGACGCCACACTAAACTCCGAAACATATAAATGAACAAACAAGACTAACAATGAAACTAACAAATAGTACAGAAAACTATACACAGAAAACTGAAGATGGAGCAATACAACAAAAATTCGGTAAGCAGATCCTAATCTACTGGTGACACCCGTCGTGTTACTAATTATAGTGAAAATTCATTGACATGACGCATTCAGTGATGTCATAAGAGGACTTGATTGTGACTACGACATGCATAAGTGTTAATCTATGACGCCGATATTCAATAGCTGAACCAAATTATAAAACATTCGAAGGGGTGCGTTTAACCTTAATAAATTCTTTGAAAGCAACAACACTCTTTCACGTAAATCATATTTAGGAATCCTTGAATATCGTATCACCTGGTAGATATATACACAATATCCATGTGCTGCTGGTATGGTGCTACAGAGGAAAGGGAATTTCACAATGAGAAAATGTAAATCAACTTTTTCGTCGTAAAGTTTAGTTTTCATCCGGTATCATTGTCAATTTATATATGTAGGTCAAGATATGAAGCAGACTCAATTGTATCTGTGGTATCGTTTATTTCAATTTCAATTATATAGGTGCGTTCAACATAGTCACCAAACTTTCGAATATTCAGCGAAAGGACATCATCTATATAGTAGAAAGTGACATAAAAGGTTAAAGTTAATAAAGTTGGACCTATACTTTCAATCTGTCTTTCAGTTTAGACTAATGATTATCGTGTAAACGGAGAAAAAAATCAACTGTTTTAGATCTATGCGATCTGGCCATTGGCCCATGACCTCTGTTGTATGGTTAAAGGACTTACTTATCTCGATGGTAATTATTCGTGCTTAACTAGATCAATTGCTTATTGAATATGTACGCTGAACAATAAGTAAATATATATTTGTTCTATTGAATGTGCAACAGCGGAGCATGATTTTGCTCCCAAATTACCACTGTACCATCCGGAGTTAGAACCCAAGACTATATATAGTAAGCCATCGCTCCGCCAACTGAGCTAAAGAAATACGCAATTGCAGCTGCTCTATGGCGGTTATATGTCTACTAGTCCAAGGTCCCCACATCAATAGTCTTTTATATTGTCGCTATCCAACATCAAACCCTATCGCTAAATTCTCTAAATTTCGTTTAACCATATTGGAATTTCAGTTGGATCACCAAATAAACAGTAGAAAATTATTTTCCTTCCAAAGCTTGTATCATGAGAACAGCAAACAGCTCATTACTCGTTGATGCAACTGTATAATATTTCTCATGTGAACCAGCAGAAGGTGTGTAATGGACAAGGCAGGGAATTTCAGCTTGAAGGTAAAGGTTTACACGTGATCAATTTTGTATAACACATAGTTTGATGTTTCAAATACTTGCAGTCATCTCTAAATCTAAATTGAATTACCACTCGGAGTTCAAGGTGATATTAACAATACTACAAGATCTACATGTACATAAGACTTGAATCTCTAGCTTGAAGGTGAAGGTCTATATTTCTGTTTAATATCGCAGACTTAATGTTCATTGTCAACAAAACATCAATCATAAATCGTTTAAATTAAAACACATCCCAATGATCCTGAGTATTGTTTAGCGTTCAATGATGATACTCTGTTTGATTGTTCAGAAACACTAGAATACTTGTTGCGAATAAGGTCACAATGTAACGTTGAACGTAAAGGTTACACTCTTTGTTAATGCTCCATGCCATTTGTTCATGGTTACTAATTCCTTGTTTAAAAAAAACAAACAAACTTTAGGACAAAAATCTCAGAGCAGATAGCACCGATTTCACCTCCATTGTTTGGTGTAGTTTTTATGGCTCAATAATTGTTTTCTGTTGAGAGATTTGCAGACTGTTGTGTCTGTTCGTCTTTTTGTTTTGACTTCTCCCTTTTAGAGATTTTGTTCAGGAGGGCTGAAAAGTAAGTTTTGTATTTTGTTAAAATTAAGGTTGCAATTATATTTGATAAGAGGCAAGCAGCTTTGTTGGCTTTGTGAAATATATTACATTCTTTTGCATGGCTTAATAAACTTATTGATAAAGGTTATAATCGTACTAATGTAGCCTATCAGGGTATATTTGGATTAATGTCGATTCGCTAATTTACAGTTTGAGACCCGCCTAAATGATTTATTTATAGCATTGCACAAGATCATGCCTTCCACTCATTGCAACTGCCGATAAAATAATCAGACATGGTATCGATATCTGCAACTTAAGTTCTTTGTGGTTGTTTTCAGTAACTACGGGCTATCTTTGATACTTTACTATTCAATTACAAAAGATGAAAAATAATGAAGCTTGCGGTGATGATATGTTTATTAATGAGTTTATTACGACTTTTCTCTACAACTTTTGGCAACTAAATTCGTTACTAGTTTTTGGCACCACGAAATTCTTCACAATTTTCTTAACTGCTGGTGTACTGCAAAAACATCCGTGTCGCTATTTGTCCTGGTTGGTCTTTTCTCCTATTCCGGCTGTTGGTGGCACATATTTTTATTTGTATTTGTTTTTTTAAATCATTATTCTAAGTATTTTTATTTCTATCTTCATTTATTTTATTTCTATTTTTTTATTCAATTTGTCAATTATCATTTATGAATAATGAAGATAATAACATCTGTCTGAACTTTTTAATGTTTTATTTTAATATATAAAAATGTTTTTCTGTTACGAATCATGATGTATTGTTTTATGTGTACATGTTATGCTGCCCATCAAGGGCCCTTGATTGGAATAATAAATATTCTTATTCTTATTCTTATTCTATTTATGAATCTATTTATTGATATATTTTTGTTCACATCAAATTATTTATACTCCTTGTACAAATTTATAAATATTTTTGTCTCTCAAATTACATTAAATACTGTAAGGTAAAAATAAATTATTAAATTGCAAAAAGGCGTAAGCCAGAGCCGACCGTGCGAGACCCTCATGTGAAGTCAAGGTAGTTAAATACCCCATAGTAGTTGTAGATTTGTTCAATATCATACGTTGCAAGGTTCTCCGATGAAGTTTTATTAATCAACGAAAACCAGTGTGGGTTTCGAAAAGGTTACTCATTAAGTGACCGTATCTCAATATTCGGCTTTGAGCGTTCCTGATGAAGGTAGACCCAGAAAAGGTCTTCGGACGCATGACATTTCATTTGTTTTACACTCCACTCTTTTTTTTTTTTATTTTAAGATTTAAAAAAAAAGAAAGTCCTGTGCTTTTGTCGATTTTTAAGAAACAAATTGACACAGGGAGGAGAGATGATTTCTGACATACGGTGCATGCTGGTAAAATATAATTTTAGTGGTTATATGAATAGAATTATTCATAACATGTATGCTGATATAAAATCATGCTGGTCATATGATACAATGGTGAGAAATCTGATCATTTTCAAAGCAAAAATTAGACTACGCAAAGGGGAGAATGTATCCTCTTTTTTCCCCTGTTTTGAACGATTTAGAAAAATTCTTTTATAACGAGATTTTGGTATGTTTGAAAACTATCGCGGATGTCCTAGAAGACAAAGTAGATGTTTATGTCACAAGTTAAAACTTTTGCAATTCAGGATCCACACATGCAATACTGAACTTATAACAGAATCAGCTCCAGAACTTCAAATCATTCCACTAGAAAAATTTCATTCATATAGTAATCATTAAAAAAAATAAAAGTCAATGCAGATAAGACCAACATTATAGTTTTTGTAGTGTTAGGCAACTTGAAAATCTTAAATATGTTGTGGCAACTCTGACATAGAAACTGTTGAAGAATTTAATTATCTTGAAATTTATTTTCCTATAGCACCGTACGATGACCTATAGTTGTTAATTTCTGTGTCATTTGGTGTCTTGTGGAGAGTTGTCTCACTGGCAATAATACCACATCTTCTTATTTTTACATTTAAAGCAAACAAGCCGCATCAGGCAGAAAAGGCTACGAGAGCCATACATGAAATTATAAAAAATGGAAGACAATATCGATAAGTTTTCATTTATATTTGTTTGATTAATTAGTGAAACAAGTTTGCTGTACGGCTGTGCAAATTGGTTTTTTTTTGGGAAATAATGAAATATTAGAAAGAGTTCATTTGAACTTCTGTTAACATCTCCTAACATTAAGCTTTAACAAATGACAACCACTGGGGAGGCTCCTATTTTTTTTTTTACATAAATATGAACATGAGGCAGGATTAAACTAGTTTTTTAGAGAGATTTCTAAGTTCACATAAAACCAATATATGCATACACATATACGACTGAGAAGTGCTTGCTTTTATCTGGGACATAATATATTAGAATAATAGTCCCAGCTTTTATTAAATAATTTCAAGAAAGACAGTTTCTAACGACATTGCTTACATTATTTTGTCAGTTTTATTCAATATTCACAAACTATCTCTATTTAAAAAAAAATCTCTTACAAATTTATTATCTCTCAAATTGTGTGGTCCTTTTGGTAGATTGTATTCATAGATTTTGGATATATTTATGACCATATAGTACACTAATATGTAACAGTCGTAACAAGGGAAGACCCTGAAGTCATCTGATAGAATCCATTAATATTCCCTCCATATCTACTTTGAAGCTGTCATATTTTTTAAAAACATAATTGGCCAATGTCATCAGGTGTAGAAACATACATCATCAAGATATTTTCAGTAGCGAAATTTTATGACTGGTATCATCTATGCTGGTGGCGGGTAAATTAATTTTTATTCCTAACAATATTCTATTGTATTTAGATATATCGACATAAATTTACGGCTCTAATATGCTAACATTATACCCACTTGCAAAATATTTGAAATTTATAGCTGATAGTCCACTCGGGTGGGTTCGATAAAACACTCTGTAGTTTATTACCTCGCATTTTATTGGAATCAAAAATGGAAGCCTAGATATCAGAGTTAAAATCTCTTAGCCTTTAATCGCTCACCCGTTCAACTGTGACCTTTTGGATGTAAAATAAACAAAAGGTTCTCCCTGGATTTTAATTCCACTGTATTTTTCATGCCATTCGCCATAGAAAATTTCATTAGATAAGAGTGAAGTAGGCTGTTTATGAGGGGCCATTAATTTTAAAGAATGCCTGAAATCAATTAATGTATCACCTGTTGTATACTGTGCCAATAATAAACAGAACAAATTATTAATATACTCCACAAAGATGGTTTCTTATGATGTCATAATTTTGTAGCAGTTATGGTTATTTACTTGTATGTATTCTCTTGTTTCGGTTTTATAAGTGACAGGGTTATCTCAATGTCAAATTTTAAAATGTTTACGATTTGGTGCAACATTTATTACCTAATAATTATTTAAAAATTATATTATTACCGGTAATTTAATATTAAGAACGATGAGTTGTAAAAATTTAAGTGATGTCTTTTCGTCCTAAAAAGATAATTAATATTTGAATAACCGTTGAAGTGACAAGAAGTATTTTAAAATCAATTGAGTAAGTTTTTAATGATGATATACATAACCAATGAATGCTTAAATGTACTGACAATCTTCATCTCAGGCCATTTACAAAATTCAAGTTTCATTTTTCTTTTTTAGTATTAAAAGAAATGCTGTGTTGCTCTCATATATCTACAAAAAAATCTTTAGAATTTGCGCATATAAATTGATCGAGATATTTCTGTGTATTTTAAATATTAATGTCGGAATTTTATGATATTGATAAAAGCGCCAATATAACAAAATTTTCAGAAAATATGAAGACACTTAGACTATTAGACATCCGACACTTTGTTAAAATGTATACAACCACGCTTATTTGGCTGTTTTAAGCTTTTCACATCGTCTATACACTTGTCCTGAACGTGCATGAAATATTTGTCACTGTACATTAAGCAAACAACAATAAATCGCTTGCGTTTTTAACAGATAAACCTCAATGAGACAGCAACCTGACATCACAAAACCGAAAGACGTCTTGATGTTAACATAATGTCTTCAACCTGGGAATTTTAGTATACTAGTCCCAGCTTCAACAATAGATGAATTTCCAAACAATATGTCCGGCTCTAAAACGCTCGAAAAAGTGAATAAATTGAGCAAAGATTACCAACGAGCTTCCATCAATATCAAATTTCAAATTAACATACAACATAGAACAGGAATAAAAGCCCTGTTCATTGATAATTTTGTATGTTTTCTATGTATTGTTTGCGATTTTGTCCCATATACATTTACTCCATATCCTTTCATTTTCTATACAACCGCATACAAGGTCCCTCCTTTTTGTATCGGTCTATGGGATATCAAGAGAGACTAAGAAAGCACGACAAAATAATTTCAGAAAAATATGCTTTACCCTATGATTCCAGTATTATTGACAATACAAACACAGGCATATGTAAACAATACTTAATAATACCGTGTCAAATAATACAAATAATACTAATGAAAGCAAGCTGAAAATGCGTAAAGTGCTGATAAAGATATCATCCCGTCCTATATATTCTAATACCAAGTAGATTTAAAACGGCAACTATAGAACAGTTCAGGAAGACATACTCTTGGCGTTGCCCAAAGTAAATCTGTGCAAAATTTTAATTCAGAACAATTAAAAGAAACATTTTAAGTATCATGTCATTGCATATAGTATAGAGGTAGCAAGAAAACATTGTTATCCCCGAAAAATTCATTGAGACATATTTCTTTACCCAAACCTTTTTTTCGTACAAAAATACTGATAAAAAACCTAATACATTAGAATATTTTCCCCCATATTTTTTTTTTGCTTTCTGTTTTTATTTTACTGTGACCGCTTTGTCGGCTAGAAATGAAATACATAAATAAATAAATAAAATAAAATGAATAAATGAATAAATAAATAAATAAATAAATAAATAAATAAATAAATAAATAAATAAATAAATAAATAATTTTGGTATATGT